ACTCTGCAATTATCAGCTTGGTTCTTCAGGCTCCCTTTCCAAGCTTTCTAATTCTACAAAACAGCTTTATGTAGCTTTATAATGCTAATTCGATAAAGCAGCTTTGGCCAGTCTGGATCTCCTATTATCCTTCAACTCTCTGTATCTTCTGATGGCTATGATGGCTATGGTGTCTCTGGATCCATTTGATACCCAAATTCCAAGCCACAGCTTACAGAGGATCTTGCTTTTTCCTTCCCTCTCAGTATAATAAAAGCAGTATTGTGGTGCAAGCTCTACCACTGGGATATTGTGACATATGCAAAAAAAAAGGTGAATGAGGCTTCTACCATGCACTACTTTTTTCAGTCTGAATCCTTTTTGCTGCCTTGATAGATGACATTGGTTGCAAAATATCTAAAATCATGCAAAACACAACCACTCAGAAAAAGAGGTGTGGACTATTGGATTGCTGCCCTCAATATTGCTACTCTGTAGAAATAGCATCATGTTGAATGAACCTTAACTTCACACATGACTTGATTGTCTCTCCTGTGTTTTGGCTTTGTGTGAGCACGTGAGAATGGGGTGTGGTTTCTATTGTCTCACTAAACTCTGATGTCTTTTTTTCCTCCCTTTCTGCTTGCCTGCTGCTTTCATTCTGTAGTATTGGTATTTGCCATTCATTTCACCTTCTGCATCTATGCATCTCATGGTAGGTTTTAGGTTTCTTAATCTGAGACTAGACATTTCTGCTGTATAAAATGAGATTTTAATAAAGTCTTAAGCAGAGTGTGTTAATATATATATAGCCATACCTTTTAAAACCTTGACATTTTCAGCTCTTAGTAGGAAGGCATTTGTGTAGCCAATAACTGATGGATTGATTATTCACTTTAAGTTTTAGGGATGGGTGGAAGATACAGCAAGTATTTTTGTCTTTGTTGATGGTGTCTATATTTCTGCTGAAAATGTATTACTTTTGTGGTTCCTTTGAGTTTTTAAGTGGAATACTATTGAAACAATGAAAGTCAAAAAGTGTTCTTATAAGATTGGACACTTGGAATCTGTCAAATGTCTTTCTTTTTTTGTCAGTGACCATTTTCATCTTGAAAGAAAGGAATTCAATTTTGTGAAATTGTTTGCTCTAAAAAGTCCAGCTGATCCAATGTTTGGGCCAAACTACTGATTAGGTCTGGCCACAGGGAGCATGTGATTCCTTTGTTCCAATAGCTTCATTGTCTCTTTCATGGAAGTATCACTTGTGTGCCAAATTCTATCCTCACTCAAGCAAGTATTGATTAATGAACACAGGAGCAGTTATTACGCCAAGAATATTAAGGATTGGGTTAGAATTTATGGGCTATCTGTTGGTAGCCATCTTCAACTCATAGCAGAATCACTGATGCTAAGGAAAAGCAGAAGTCTCTCCCCATTTTCTATATCATCTTCATAATCTTTAGGACAGGGTTGTTTTATTTGTTCTTCTCACCCTCGTTCAAAACTTATGGCCCATGCAGTATTCATGCTCTTCACTATTCTGGTGAACCAAGTCTCCTTGTTCATTTTTTTTTCTTGTGACAGACTAAGCTGTGCCTGGGTCAGCCCCTAAATATTTGCAGCCTTTTTTGTCTGGTATATGCTAAATATCTTATGAATTTGTCTAGAGCTCGGAGCTCTTCACTTTGACGTATGGGGCTTTGGTCACTCAGCTGTGTAAGGACTACGAGAATGATGAAGATGTGAACAAGCAGCTTGACAAAATGTAAGTAACAGAAACAATGTGGGTGTTCTGAAGTTAGAAATGTCAGAAACCCCTTTTCCATGGGTTATTCACTTGCAGAATAAATCTAATTTTATCCAATCCTTGGAGTTTGGGAAAATAAATGAGCATGGATTTCCTTCCTCAGAGTGTTTCCCTCCAGTCTGATCTGCTTGATGTGATCACAGTTTCATGGCATCT